TTGAAGTTAAAATAATGCGTAAAAATCAAACGAATGTGAAAAAATCTAAACTTAATGATAAATTTTAGAAGCATTGTAGAGTTACTATAAACTATACATATGCAAAACGTTCTGATTAAACTAGTTTTGTTTATGTAACATGAGAATTTATAAACTTATACATAATTCCTTGCATTAGGAAATCGTGAGTTCAAAAAAAATGACTAAATAAAAAAGATAAGAAATAATTTTTTGTTTCGTATCAAAGCTTATAGGATTTTTTGTAATATTTATTATTAAATTTAGATCTAAAAATCTTTATAAATTATTATAAAGGAGATAAATAACCTCTGAATTTTGGCAACCTGCTAAGAAAAGAGAGATAATTAAACGTATGAAAAAAAATTTGAAGTCAATTTTTGGTATTTGTTAAACAGAATTTCAGCACAAGCTTTGTTTGGACACAACTAATTTCAACGTGGACGCAATCGACGTTCAATATTTATACACCCAATGTGACAGTTATTACAACAACCTTTGAAACAATATAAGTTACTGGCATTTTTATTGGATAATTCTACAACTTATTATTATGAAAAACGGATTATGAATATATTATCACCTACTGATGCTGCTGAGGACACATATTCATAGTTTATTATTAAGGGCAGTGCAGAAAGTAATTTAATTTCTCTATTTTATCAACTAGATTATATTAACTCTATAGCTACGTATCATAAATTTTCATATAAAATGCAGTTTTATTAAACTTTATGATAATTGCTTAACATGATACTTTTATCCTTCAGTCACGACTCATAGTAGAAAAAATAGATAATGTTTAGTTTGTCTACTAGGTTTTTTTGTTGATTTTTCTCAAACTTCAAGTGATTTTGTTACGTCCGAACTTCTATAAGTAAAGGGTGGTGGAACTCGTAGATTCGTTCTACAAACAAATAAATTTAATTTTTGTTTTTCAGGAACCAGCCGTCGGCCCAAAGGCCTTATTTGCTTTCACTTACAGTATACTTTTATTTCAAATCGTTGACTTCGCGTTGCGGTGTTAAGTTTCACCGAGCGATATGTATGGAGTAGTGTACGCAAAGCTGGCATTGACCTACTGTTTGAGTTTATGTCTAATGTCATACGATAGTAGCGTATCTTATTCGTCTTTTTATCTCACGTCCTTGTAAAAGTCTTTGTCATACGTTGTCTATTTTAATTTTCCTCGATTTTTAATTTATCCATTAAGGTGAAAATTATATGTCAATCAATGAGAATTATTTAATCTTCAAATGTTCCATATATTTTAGCAATTAAAATGTTTTTAAATTAGGAAAATTAATTTTATCAACAACCAAGTTTTTTCTTATCTGACGATATAATAAATTTAGAAAAGCCGAAAATAGTTGATTTTATAAATAATATAAATCATAAAGTTCAGATTCACATTTACAATGTTTATATAATTTGTAGTTTTCTTAACTTGATTTACTTCTATGATCGTTAATTAGCCACTGCTTGCGAGCACGGAGTCGAAAGATTTTACAAGGTTGACCGCAACGATGATCCTAATCCTACACGAGAGTACTCGTGGCGATGACAATAATTAGGCTGTTGCTTTTAACGTCAGAACCCAAGTCGACGATCCTTTTTTTCTGGTTCCTCCTTGATTCATTTTTTAGGCGAGTCTACAGTGGTCTGGTTTGCTCAAGCTTTTCTTACACAGCTTAGTCACTGAACTCAGTCTCACATTTGTTTGAAATGAACGCTTCTAACACGTAGCCTAATCACCGAACTAAGTCTTATATCTGCTTAAAAGACGCAACAGAATTTACTCTTCAACCTCTATAGTTACTTTGAAGCACTTGATGAAAGAGAAAAGGCAAAAATTGTTATGTGCAAGGAGTTTTTATACTCTTGCGTTTAGGAAGAGCGCGTCAAGTTAGGAATCCGAACGACCAATCAGAGCTTAACCTAATTACTCTCGATTGACACGAGCACAGTCATGGTGCAATAATTACGCAGTAATTGATGGTTGAAACTGCTGATCTCTCCGATTTTATATAAAGTACAAGTTGCTGTCGAAATTGTGTATGATATTTCTTGTGGACATAAGCAGTAAAAAATATTAAAATTGTTGATTATTTACATTCTTGGATGTACCACTGCGATTTGATTTTGTAAGATGAGCGTTTATAAGATTATTGAAGGTTGCACGCGTAGTTCAAGTTTTGCGACGGTAGCTTGTTTCAAAAAAAGTAAGTTACATGTCACGCGATTTCAGAAGCAGGTGTACCACTCCATAATTCGAGATCGCTCAGCTTTTACTTTTTGTAAGTTAAAAACGAAACTGTGTTAAAGTATTAAATATATTAGGTATATGACGTGAGACGTCACAATTTCACTAAGTTTACATTTAATTAACTTTCTGAAAGAGTAAAACTGTGTGACATTACTACTTTTTTTTACCCAAATACTTATTTATTTGTTTCATCTAGCTGCAAAGGATATTACTGTCGACGTAAAAAACTTAATTCATCTACACGCAGAGGGGTTAGAACAATTTTAACCAGTGACACCTACCGTATATTATTTTCACTCACTGCAGCATGAGATTTACTGCTGCCTAGCACGGGTTTTTTTGGTACCAGCACCGAAAAACACACTTCTAACATTTGTATGGAATAATTCGGTAGCACAAGGAGAGTTAAAACAGATTAAACCAGTTCCACCTTGGTACCCCATTTTTAGTCACTGTAGTATGAGCTTTACCCATACCTAGCACGGATTTTTCCCATATGATCACCAAAACCAGTAATTCTAATATAAGTATAAAATATTTCATAACCCCCAATGATGTTTTTCAGATGTCTGTATACATAGCTATAGCCTTGCATATGTCACAAGAGATATATTATGAGACCGATTGTACTAATCTCTGGGACCATAATTTCTTCGAAAAATGTAATAAAAAAATAGTATAAGGCACATCAGCATACTGATAGTTTATTAAAATTACAAATAAATTTTCAAACATTTTTACACTTATATTTTGACAGTAGTTATAGTTAGTAAAATTCTTAAATGAATATATCATAAAACTAAATAAAGAGGCAAATAAATTTTTTTTGTTCATTGTAAAAAATTACAAGAGGATATATTAAATAGCGGATTCAATTTCTCAAGATTCCATTCAATCAACTTGCTGGCGACAAATTCGTCCATTGTAAACAAAACTTTCATATTGTTGTAAAAAAAAAATACATTTGGAGGCAATCCAAACCGGTCAAAGACTATACTCGAGTGGCTGAAAATTCGGTACTCACGGTGGCACCGAAAAAACCCGTGCTAACGCAGGGGAAATATAGATGTCAGCACGAGAATTTCACGTGTTTAGTATTGCTCTGCTGTTTCTCAACTGAGTGCTGTAAAATACAGTGACAATTAGTCATAAAACTCGTACCAACACCTTAAAAAGAAACACTCACTATTTTAAGTATTGGTTATATCAGTGGAAACCCCTCTCTGTGTATTAATTATCCGTTATTGTTTATTTTCAATTTGTATCCGTTTAAAAATCAAACAACTTTTAATCCTTAATTACAATCAATCCATGCTGATTATTTAAAAAGGCCACAGAAATGTTTGAAAGTCACTTCACTGCAATTAATCAATTCTTTAACGTAATATTGTTGATGATGAATTCCATTATAAATAAATACATCTTTTTCGGTTAAAGTTTTTTTAATTGAAAGATGAAAAGTACAGAGTTACAGGGGTTTATTATGTTCATTAAAACTGGATTTGAATTGGACTAAACCACCAAGCAGGTATCTTCCTTAGCCATGCTGCTTGAATCTAGTAAACATCTGTATCTAATGTAGTGCTATGTAATCTAATGCTGTAGGTAGCACTGCTTGATTTTAAGAACAGGCCTATTTCATCCTTTCAAAAAGAAATTCGCTAGTAGCCCACTTAGTGGTAAGACTAACCAACCCAAGACTCATAGGAATTATCGTTGGCAAATTTTAATTCGAGTATTTAAGATTACAGATCTTGTTATCTTTTTACTCAAAAGTTTTTTTTGTAGATAACAAACATTAAAACTGGAGAATAAGATAAAAGAACTTGAGTAAAATCGAAATATATTAGCTGTACTAAAAAAATATTTATCCTTTGGTATTCAACAACTTAAGTGTTCTATTATCGAGTACATAGAAACGCAGTTGCTAGAGCTTTGTCTGTCTTTCAAACTTATCATGTAGCGCTTCTGAGCTACTAAAAATTCAAGATAAAATAGATCTTATTTAAAAAAAATAAGAATAAATGTATGGGTACAAAAAACAGGAAAACATTTTAATCAATTAGAAAAAAATGGGTTGCATCAAATAAAAGTACAAAAAAGTACAAAAGATAGTGAGTAAATGTATGTATGTGTTAAAAGTAGTTGACTCTAAATGTAGACAAAAAATTTAAAATTGATGTCAGTCACAGTGGACATGAGATAAAAAAAAATTATAAAAATAAATAACAACTCTTATAAGACAAGTACATAAAATTGAATAATAGAACGTATTTCTATGAAGAAAAATTAAGGATTCATCAAGGTAAAGCTAGAAACATATAACAGGGACAAATAAATTACTCATTAATGCTTAAAGGAGGAGTGTTTTGAATAAAAGGAATATTTGAAAAGGCTAGTTCAAAAGAAGTCTCATAAAAGTTAAGACGTCCTTTTTTTTATTTTTTTGTTTGATAACACATAGATGAAATATGAAAAGATCTTGTAGCAAAGTAGAAAATAATTAACAGGATCTCATAAAAAACATATCAATGGTTAAATCACCGAGAGAAATGCAAATTTTCACATTCTTTGTAAGAGTTATGTGAGAGTAAGAATTTTTAGATCATAAGTTTGTCGTAAAAAGTGCACAAGAATGAGAATTTTTACTTAGATTAGCACGTTCCACATGACATTTAGTATTATTATGTTCAAAATAAATATGCAATGGACTTACCTTTTCTTGCCATGCTCCACCATGTTCATCACCTTCACCGCAAATTAAATATTCCTCAGCACATACTTTTTTGATTTCATTTTTTAATCCTAAAATCAAACATTAGTAACATGTTAATTAGTAAATTCACTTCCATAGGTGTTACATGATCATCAGTGTACGCTACATAAATAGTATTTTTGTGTCATTATAAGAAAAAAAATGTAATGAAATTTTAAAAAGAAAAAAATTTCGTTCAATAGAATCATATATGTTTTTACGAAACCTTTTTGAGTAAAAGCTATTAACATTACTTTTTTTCACTACAACAAGTGAAGTATTTTTTACTTCTTTTTTTTAGATGCAGTGTCTAACGTATACAAGTTTATAGCAGCTTTTTAAATATAATTTAACAGTAAACTAATCAGATTTATGCGGTTGCAAAAAAAAGCTTAAAAAATAGAAATCCTTATTATTTTTAGGCTGTAGAGATATCTTTAAGCCCTAATGTGTTTAGCGTGTGTGTTTATATTTACTAAAAAGTATTTTATATTGAAATATTTTCTCAAAATGTACTTCTTTTAAGTACCACATGTTTCAATTCGAGGCAAAAAATGAGACAACTGTTTTCAATAAAAATTTCAAAACAGTGAATAATCTCTAGAATACTGTTATTACAGTAATTTTATCGATGCTACTATAATTTTTTCTTGTAAAAAAAACTAAAGGAAAAATATAAAGAAACATTTTCTCTCAAAAAAAACTAGACATTTATTTTAATTTCGTTATCATTACTTACTTTTTTTATGACTAAAAAATAGAAAAATATTTAAAATGTTATTTTTTTGTCAAATTTTATTCATAGCTTATTAGTCTGAGATCTGATGATTCTGATACAAAATATATCACATGAGTTTGTGTGACATTCGTACTAAATTCGCATAAACGAATCTACTTGAAATGATTACTTTCTTTTATTGTTTGTACTTAACTGCCTGCATCGTAATTCAATTTTCAAGGCTTATTTGTATTGAATATTCTTTGATTTATTCATGGATTATACCAAGCTCTTAAATAAAATAATTTTATCTAGAATATAATACGTCCAACACCAATTCTAAAAATAATAAAGAGTTGAGATCTTTTGTGCATCGAAGGCCACGTTTTGCGTAAATTTGTTTCATAAACTTTGTTTCCTCCCATACGCTACTTTATATTGAGTAATGAACATCTCACGAAAAGACCGCAGTCATCTGCCTTGGTATTTTCAAACCCTGTGCAAATATTATTATTATAATTCGGTTTCAAAGGATAAAACAACTACTGCTACCTCTCTTTTCCTACGTAAATTCTTTGTTGTAGAATTTTCCAGGGCAAAGCTGTTTTTCCTCTGCGCTCCGTCGCCAGTGAGTGGGTGTGCACACCGCAAGACAAAGCGGAAGGAGAGGCAACGAGATAGCGGTGTCTTTGTAAAAATACGCGCTGGTGAGATCAATATTGCATTTTTCAAAATTCGCGCAGGAGCTCGTTTTTATATTAAACAGCTCGGCGGGTTATGAATTTCCAGCCCCGCCACCTCACAAAGCACCAAGAGAAGATCAAGACAGTCTGTCACGATGAATGAGAGGAAAAAATATTCTTTGCGCGCGAGTCGCTCTTTCTTCCTGAAAATGTTCAAGCTTGCGAATAAAATACACCGAACGCAGGGTTTTAACATGTATTTAACATTCTAAGTAATACTTTCGGAAACGAATTATTCATCTATTAGCAAAAAGTCCCATACCAGGACAGAGGAAAATCTAGAATGACATAGTATATAACTGAGTCAATACTTCTTGTAACATAATCTAGGTTATCCTGGAGATGAAACTTCGTATCTACCCTCATGTGGATAAGACATATTTTGTACAAATTTCATGCGGTACATTAAGAGTATAGAATTGGAATAAAAAAAAATTTCACACACCAAAGGTGTTGTTAATTACTTTTAAGCAATGTTTTGTGAGGATTAAATTCCAAACTTTCAAAGCTAACTTTATTATATAACAAAAGAAGTTACAAGAATGTTAAAACATATTACAACAAAGATATGATGTCAACATATTACAAATAAATTTTACTAGTCATACACTGATTAGAAAAGAATATTATCAATCACTTATCTTCGTTTGTAAGCCTTTGATCTATGCCTTACAAAACAAAGCTTGTTATCTACCTTTGAAGATTTGTATCATTGTCATCAGCATTAATATTTTACTACTATTTATTACCGTAGTTGACGTGTGCCCAGCACTAAGTACATGTGTATTAAAAATAGACCGTTTTTATTGCACAAAAAAGTTACGTCTATTTCCTGTAATTGGTTTTAATTTTTTTGTTATTTTTTATGCTTAAGTCAGCCGAAAGGTTGGTGTTTGGTTTTAACAAAACGTTTCTTAACAGTAATTAATATCACCTTTGGTGTGTAGAATTTATTTTCATCCCAATTCCATACTATTAGTGGACCGTGTTTGATTAGCACGAAATCCTTATAACCCAGGCTAGTTTATCTACTTAGTGGTGCAGAGAAGGCTAAAACAGCTTCATTTTTCTAAATTAAAGACAGCTAGTAACTCAACTCATCGATTTTAATTATTTCATTCTTCAAGCGATATACTTGTTGTGGTAGTAAGTAAATAAGCAAGTGAGAAAAAGGATGTAGCGAAAATTCCTCCATATTACCATTAATAAATCAAGAGCTTTCCATGATGTGCCACAATTAAGGTGGTACCGTTGATAAGAAGAGGATGCAACTACCTTACATGATGTAAGCAATATTAAACTTGCTGGCACTCCAAATTTTCCCAACTAATTATGACCAAAAGATTTAAGGATAGCCCTGAAATGCTTTAGTTTGACACATATTTTGTTTATAAAATAAAAATTCTTTAATTCCCTTAACAACAAAAAAATCTAATCTACAAGTGAATACTTCCATTGTCTTTAACTAGCAAAAGTGTATTTATAATTTATAAAAAAACTCAAAAAATTTTGATTTTATATTATATTATTTCCACATGAATCAAGACTAAGTGTACAAGGTTCCGACTGTTAGAATGCAGTAAAAAACGTTTGAAAAGCTATTTAGTAAGAAAAAAAATTGTTGCATGTAAACTCAGGAAGCACATCCATAAACATCAGCATAGAGGTGCGATTAGTTTGTTTACGTTTATGGTAATGTCTTAAGAAGTTTTTCTCAATTATTGTTTTCCAACTACACGTAATTCAAATTTTTAATTTACGCTAAATGCAGTTCTGAAGATATTTTATAAATACGGTTATCAATAAGAATTTCTATGCTCCTTATGTTAAAAAACCGACGTTCTTTGTTTCACAACAACATAAAAAACAAATAAATAAATACAAATAATATATTCGTCATCAAAAAAAGCATATTAGTGGTAAATTTTTCAGTTGTATGATGTGATAATAAAAATTTAAAAGACAAGCACGATTGTATAGACATTTACTAACACTTAATTGAGGGAAATATGAAAGTTTTTCAGAAAGAAAAAAAAATTCGTAAACATTTTTTAACAAAACATCTAAAAAATGTACAATAAAATTAAAAACAAAGATTTGACTTAAATCAAAGTAATACCTATTTATGGAAATAATTTTTATGTTAACATTTTGTCTGCCAAATAAAAAAGAAAATTTGGACCTTAGATAATTGTTAAGATCATATAATTTTCGGGCTTTAAGCTCGTTGAATAAATTATATTAAAAAAATTAATAAATAAGCGTAAAATAAAAATAAAATATCATACACCAAATTGACTTTTTAAAAAAATCAACTTTAAATAAAGTTTTCGCAACGAATATATTATCCAATCACCAATATACCAGTCATGACCGATATTTGAAGGTGGAAAATACACAAACAAAATCAAATTTAATTATTTTACAAACACGTAACTTAAGAGAGTGAGAAAAACTAAAATAAACAGTTTTCAGAAAAAATTTGCTGATTGACAACCCTGAAAATTTGTATTTTACGTTATTTTTTATGTTTCCCTGTACTTTTCTACCCCTTGTTTGATCGGCACTAAATTATTTGTTAAATTCAAATCTGAAATGTTTAATACAAGCCCAAACCATTTATTTCATGATAAAATGTATACATTTGAATTTTCTTTGATTATTAAAGCTTTAATTATTTAAATTATTTGATTTCATTAAAAAATTTTCAAATAATAATTTCACAATAAGAAAATTAGTAACATAAATACAGCGATCAAAAAGAATCACCGAACTTAGCTATACGTGCCAACTTTTTAATAACATACAACTATTTTTACTTAGCTGTAATAACAATACAATGTTAAAAATAGGTGCCTCGATGACTAATTATTTTACATACAGAAACCACCAAATCATGCCTCCTGATATATTAATACTCAAGTGTATTAAATCATATCTCAGACATGTAAAATAATATCTATTTAATATATTACGCACAAAATTTTTAATCATTTAATAAGTATGCTGATATTAGAATTAGTAACTGCTTCAAAACATTTTGTTATTAGACAATTTTGAGTTATTATCCGAAACGATGTGACTCTTAAGGTATAGTCATTTTTTGTTATTTGTGAGTTTAATAGGAAAACCCTGAATTTTCAATTTTTAAAAACAAATAAAAGAGAATCTTTGAAAACACCGTATGAAACGAATTCAAAAACCTTCAAGAGAAAGCTTCTCTTGTTTGGGGTCAATTAAAAGTGGCTTTTCAACCAAAAAAAGTCTAAGTTTTTCAAACTTCCACTGCTTCAGAAAGGCGTTTTTGTCATCACAATCTGGGTAGATATCAGGACCTACTCCTAGGTCCTTCACTGCTCAAGGTATGTTCTCCTGCCATCGGAAACCCGATATCCTGCATTAAACGACCATTAACTCGCCCATATTTTACTGTCATGCATTTTTTAACCCTGATTCGAGTGAATTTTCAGTCATTAGCACTGCTGAAAAGCCTAATGCAACAATAACAAAGCTAACTCAAAGCCCAATAGCTATTATTTGAATAATAGAAAGAACTTGCAGACACTAACTGCTTGAACCACATAGTCAG